GCTCGTGTTGCCTCGCGCTTCCGAGCTGAAGCGAGCAGGCCCGCGGCGCCGTGCCAGCCCCGAGGGCTGCCGGCTGCGGCAAGCAGCGGCGTCCCTGGCCGGTGGGGCGCACGGCGATTCGCCTGGGGGGCTGCGCGGGCCGCACGGCCGGGCGCCGGATGGCGGCCCACAGGACAGTAACTTTCTCTTCGTGGGAGTCATGACCGCCCAGAAATACCTGCAAACCCGCGCCTTGGCTGCTTACAGGTGAGTCCCTGTGGCAGGATACCTTCTCCAGTGCCCAGCATCCCACCGGGCGGCGCCTTTGCCCGCTTCTCTGACTCCTGGTTCCTAGGTTTCCCGTGGGATTGGGTGCATCCACGGCAGGCCGAGTCGTGAGCACGGTGATCACAATGCTCAAAGCAATGTGGGCTTTGGGGGCAGGCAGACCAGGGTGGCAACCCATGTGTGACATTTTTATAAGCTGCTTAAGCTTTCCAAGGCCAAACCCTGTTTCCTATTATAAAGGCTGCTGGGGAACTCTTAGCATAGTACCTACCCCATCATCGATGGTGACCCTGACAGTTATCCACGTCTCAGTTATTGATACAGTTACAATCCAGAGATGAGATTGATATGCAAAACTGTCCAATTTTTTTTGTTTGATCATAGAACTAATAGCAGTTAAGATTTATTGATGTACTTACTCATCACCGTGTTGTGCCCATCAATGGATTATTCTGCCGGGGAGTCTTGAGGGAGACAAAGCTGGATAAAGCCATGCATTGTGACTGGAGGGCTCACGGCTTAGCTACCTACCTCCTTGGCTAGGTTAAAGCTTCCCTCACCAGCCAACTTCAGGACCCCACTCTCACCCTTGCAAGCCCTGAGTTCACAATCTCACAGGGCAGAGCACGCTCTCTTCAGACACAAGTCACTGAAGCTTGGGGCTTCTGTGAAGCCACTGGGAGCCTACCAGTTCCACTGAAGCAAGGCTTCAGGCCCAATTAAGCGCACATTGATGTGTCTTTAAACGCAAAAGTATTCCTTCCAAATACCTTGTTAGATGCCTCTTTATTTCCTTCCTTTCTACCCCTTGGCAGTGTTTTAGCTGCAGGGCCTCAGGCCACAGAGGAGCTGGGAATACAGAATAGGCACCTTCTGGCTTCTGGAGGCTGTGGCCATAGAAAAGGCCTGCTTTAAAGCCAGCCTTGTGCTGCATCTAGAGTCTGGTGGTGTACTGGGCTATGCATTGAGCTGCTAACCTTAAGGTCAGCCGTTTGAAATCACAAGCCTTTATTCAGGAGAAAGATGAGGCTTTCTACTCCCATGAGAGTTAATGTGTCTGAAACTCACAGGGGCAGTTCTGCCCTGCCCTCCAGGGTCCCTGTGAGTCCCCAAAGATAGTGGTTTGAGTTTGGTTGGTAGGAGGGAGCAGAGGTTGTGGATAGGGTAGTCTATTCAGAGGCTGTGTGGAGGTTTTCCTGAAGGAGGGGACACTCTGCTGCAGTGCCCTCCACTTTATTAGTGTGCAGAGTAGTCAGATAATAGATTCAATGACTGTTGTTATTTAAAAATGTCAGATAATGAGATGGTTGATAAGTGAGGAGTAGGTGTATTTAGTTTTCTGAAATTCCTGCTGTCCTCCTTGAAAAGCCAACCTAAAACCCTCTGGCAACCCTATAGGACAGAGTAGAACTAACTGCTTCATAGGGTTTCCAGGGCCGTAAATCTTTACAGAAGCAGACACTTCATCTTTCTTCAGCAGAGTAACGGGGGTGGGGGTGGGGTGGTGTTCAAACCACTCACATTTCCGTTACCAGCCCAGTGTTTAACCTTCTGCACCATCAGGGCTCTTTGAAAACTAAAACCCATAGCCATTGAGTTGATTCATAGTGACTTTATAGGACAGGGTAGAACTGTCCCAAAAGGTTGCTAAGCCGGCAATCTTCAGGTGCAGAAAACATCTTCATCACTTGGAGCAGCTAGTCAGTTTGACCCATTCCACCCTTATGGTTAGCAGCCCAGTGCTTAATGCACGATACCACTAAAGCTCTCCTGAAAAGCTGAAGTCACGGTTATCCGGCTGATGCCCTTCTGTGTCATACATTTATATTTCACTGTTTGAGTTACTGTGTCAATGAAAAGGGGTGCCCACAGCAGTTTCAGATTCTTGACTTGGGTGAAAAGAGAACCTTTGGGAAAAAACCCGCTTCTGACTCATAGGTGACTGAGAGTGCAAGGCTGCATTTTCTGTTAATTGGCTGTCTAATGTCTGCATGTTATCCAGTAACTGCTTCAGTTGGCCATGTTAGTCATTTATAGTGACTGAGATCATGCTAGTTGAAGTAGAAGGTAGATGGTTTTAGACTGACAAGTGTGTTTAGAGCCAGATCCATAGTGGTGGGAATTTGAAGTAGAAGAGAAGTGGGGGTATAGATGCAGTAAAGGGAGTTGATGGAAACCTTATATGAGTGAATTACAAAGTCAGTTAACTGTACTGATAAGGTTTCAGACTCATCCCACCACACAACAAATCAGTCGAGGGAAGCTTTTTGGGAATAAACTTTTAAAGCCGTTGAAACAGAATAAACTATAGCTTTTGCTTTAAATGTATAGCTTTAACTCTTAAATCCAATTCTGGTGTAAATTTTAAAAAAAGGGCAAAAAAACACTTTACTGCTACTGAGTTAATTTCCACTGCCTTAAAGGACAGGATGGAACTTCCTGAGTTCCTGTGTTCTGAGACTTTATGACAGTAGACAACCTTATTTTTTCATGAGTGGAGAGACTGGTAGATTTGAACCTCTGACCTTGGGACTAGCAGCTAAGCATGTAGCCCACTACACCACCAGGGCTCCTTTGGTGTAAATTAGCATGCATAAAAGATGTGAGAGGAAAATCCTATCTGTTCTCCTCCCCCTCTAAGGTTAGGCTCAACTCAAAGAGCTGAGAAAGGAAGTGGAATGGAAGAGCAAGAGGGAATGACTCCCTTTCTGTGCATTCCTCATATTCCTGCATACTTTCTGTAGGATCTTGCTTGCGGTTAGAGCCTGAGTTTTTCCAGGAAGGGTCCTGAGTGACGGAAAGAATTGGTAGTGTGAAGACAGACTAATGCAGCATTTTGGAAAGCAGATCAGTTTTTGCTCATGAATATCTGGGGTTTGATGTGTATTGTACTCTTGACTAGACAGCTACCTATATCACAAGTAGAGAGTGTCATATAACTTTTTTACAGCATGATTTTGAAAGAAAATTCACATTTGAATGAAAACAGTTAATGAGGGAATAATTTACCGGTTTGTTCCAGTAACAGATTTTGTGACTTTCTACCTTCTCCCCCTAAGCAAATACATTTTAATAAATATACATTCCGTTTATACAAATTGGTAGGGTTCCTATCATACCAGCAGTACTTAAAAAATGTTATGTCAAAAAGAGTACTATTTCATACTCAGAAAGTGATATTTGCCTAAAGCCAACATTTCATGCATTTATTTTGGCAACGTTTTCACATTTCCTACTTCATCTTGTTTTAGAAAAAATTATTTCTTGTTAGCATTTATTTCATATTTACTCATTTTAACATTAAACATTCATTTTTAAAATATTGACTTTAGTATTCATTCTTATATTTATTATTATATCAACATTCATTATAGTATTTATATAGATTTTTTGTCTTTAATTTTCAGTTGAATTAGTAGAGACATTAACTACGAAGCTAATTTATAGCTGGAAGGATTTTGAAAAACTCATAAAGCCTAGCTCTGTCTCTTTTTTTTAAAATCATTTTACTGGGGGCTTATACAACTCATCACAATCCATACATATATCCATTGTAGATGCAGGGTTTTGTCTCTCTGTTTTTTTTTTTTAATACCCACAAAGGGCAGCGGTTCTCAACCTATGGGTCACATCCTCTTTGGGGCGGGGGTCCGGGGGAGTGGGGGGGCGTCAAACGACCCTTTCACAGGGGTTGCCCGATTCATAACAGTAGCAAAATTACAGTTATGAAGTAGCAACGGAAAGAATTTTATGGTTGGGGGAGTCACCACAACATGAGGTGGAAAGGGTCGGTATTAGGAAGGTTGAGCACCACTGAATTAGGGGAAGTTGGAAATTTGCCCTGTTATCTCTCTTTCCTACCCCTCCCTTCTTTATGCTGCCTTTGCCTTTCTGAGAAAGAAAGAAAGGCTCAGCAGGAAATAGTGTATTTTACTATTTTCCATCCACTTTCTCTAGTCCCTTCTGTTTTATCTCTGGCCTTAAGTCAGAATAATGGGAGCCTGTGCAGTTTGTCAGCTCTGTGTCCAGAAGGCTTCTAGTGGAGGCGACGGCTCAAGTAGGGAGCGCAAGCACAGTCTGAATCGAGATGAGGGACTTACCATTTTGTTTCACACTTCAGGCCAAAGTCCACATTTGGCTTTTATGTCGGAGATTTTATGCACAGTTCAGCATTCTTTCTAAAAGGCAAATGATTCCTTGCCTTATACAAAATAAAACAAAAAACTCAGTATATAATTTTATACAAAACACATTGCTTAGCATATGGCTAGAGGAGACTTAAATTAGTCACTCAGGCGCTTTTATGGCAGGATATTGACACATGCAAGACTCTCTAGGGACTAGTAACCAAAGCCAGCCACCCAGCAACTTTTTCTTAGTGATCGAGATTCTGAGAAGTTGTAAAAGCGGAAAATATTTGGAAGATAGTTCTGTCTGTACTAAAATTGTTAAATGCTTCTGAGTTGGCTCTGACTAAAGTGACTGCATTTCAATGATGTACCGGCTCCCTCACCACTACTTTTATTTTCTAAACTGATCATGAAGTGGGGAAGGGCATCAAGATATGCTAACTGTGCAGTGACAACCGACTATAGGCTAGAAACATTTTTAAAATCGGACAAAACAAAATACAGAGTGGTAACTCAAGAGACCCTGAGTAAATATCATAGCTCTTGAGTTCATATGAGGGATCCTGTTTCATGAAAATGTTCAAATACATTGAGGACTCATCCTTTGTTCGGTAAATAACATGCATGGCCTCCTGGACCCAGACTCTCAATTAAGTACTATTTTCCTGGAGCGTCCGCTCTCTTGGGAAGGGCAGGCATTAAAAGGTGATGAGTACCGTAAGGTTGAAGTCCTTTCTGAATTAGGTGGCTGGAAACGTCACAGAAGGCAACACGTGGGCTGAGATCTGAGTCATGAGTAACTGGCTTTGTGACTATTATTGATGGAAATGCAAGTCTAGGGGAATCCCT